ACGCAAACACAAGAAAAGAATGACTTGCTTGCTCAAAATGGTATCGATTATAATGCGTTACCAGATATATTTCGTCGAGGCTCATATATCTTTCGGGATAAGGTATGGCTCTCCTCCTTTTTTGTTGTCTGCCTTCAGTGATGTATGGTATAGCCTTTCATCTTTTCTACAATTTTATCTATTTCACGCACATAATCTTCTTTTGCAATTTGCGTGAAATTTAAATCAATTCTGCTCATTAGTATGGCGTGAATGTTCTCTAAGGCAACTGTTTCTATTTGTAGGAAAACAAGGCAATTATGGAGGTAAGTTATTCTGAAGATTCTAAAAAGAAAATTGTGATTGAACACTGTAACATAATCGATGACGATTTCTGGGATTCACACCCATGGATCCTTGGTGACAAGCTCCCTTTGGAGTGTGCTAATACTAGACACTGGCGGAGCCAGCATGGGACAAGGCTGTCGCCCCATTTCCCAAAAAAAATCAGTTTAATTACAATATTTTGCGTAGTATGTCTTGTAGTAACTATTTTACTTCTTTTTTTTAAGCCATTTTTCTTCCTCTTTTTTAAAGCCATTTCAAGAAATCTTTATTACAGTAGATAGTATTACTTCGATTTATTTTTTTAACAATTACTCCACTTTCCCGTAAAAAAAAAAAAAAAAAAAAAAAAAAAAAAAAAAAAAACAAATACTCCACTTACTTATTTGAATAATTGCAAATTTGCAATGGTAGTTTCCTTTTTTAAAATAAAAAACTTTATAAAATAGTATTACTTCAATTTATTTCTTAACAATTAATCCATTTACCCTTTTTTTTTTTTTGGAACAACTCCATTTACTTATTTCAATAATTGAAATTGTAGTTTTAATGTATAAAATAGTATTACTTCAAGTTAATTTTAACAATTACGCCATATACGTATTTGAATCATTATAATTGTAGTTTTACATGAATATTATAGATGAGTACGAAGAAGTGTATCTCGAAGATTCGAAATATATAAAAATATATGCAAAAATTCATATTTGAAAATGGATTAAAAATGTTTAATCTTTGCAAATAATATATAACGGAGGTAGTACTATGTATATTAATGTTACCAATTTTAGAAAATTTCTTTTTTTGGGGGGAAGATGAAAGTTTAAGATAGTAGTACTTTCTTCTTTTCGCATAATTTTTGAGAATTACGGTGAGAAAATGGGCCACTATCATATTATGTTTCTTTCTTTGGTTGCACCACTTAAAGTTAAATCCGACCTAATAATGAAATATCCAAATAAAATTTTAATTCTTGCAAAAGAGTAGGAGTGTAGGACCATTATTTTAATATCATCACTAAGCCACTACATGTTTAGTTTATAATCACTTTAATTATGAAATATCCCTATCTATGAAAGATCCCTATCAAGAAAAATAAATTTGAAGGCATAAATTGCTCCACATGCATGTATCTGCTTAAATAAATTGGACCTTTATATATAACAATTAAATTAATTTGAATTCCATTGCCACTAATAACGCTCCTTTTACCTTTCCCCAATACATGGCAGCTTCATATTCACCCCCATCTTCTTTAAAAGTTAACTAGCTTTTTGGCCCGTTCAACGAACGGGTTGTAGCTCATTTTATTTTTCTTGAAATGTGTTGCTTATTTGTGTTGTATGTGTCGGTGATTTTTTGTAATAATTTGCTTAATTTTCTTACTTGTAATTTACAAGTTAGGAATACATAAAAATTTTAACATTAAATAATTGTTATTTTAACTTTTACGTTAAAAGGGGTATAGAGAGGAGTACAACTTTTTTTATAGTGAAAATAAAACACTCCATTTTCTTACTCAAATTTGCAAGTTCGGAATGCATAAAGACTTTAGCATTCAATAACATTTTACTTTATCTTTTACTTTGAAAGGGAGTATAAAGAGGAAATATTAATGGATGTGTTATGTGGCATATAGGTGAATTACGATGACATGTGTCATATAGATGATTGTGGTTTGTCTTTTTAAATACTAAGTATAGATATAGATTTGGCTTACTTAAATATACATTAACATGTGATTAATTTGCAACTTGCTAATGACCTTCCAACCACCAATAATCACTTATTAGTTATTACTTATTACTACTCATAGATATATGTTATTGTGCCACATTCTTTTAAAATATGGTACGAGTAGGTCTTATCTTTTTAAGTATAATTTCGATTTGAGTACAATATGATTTTACTCAACCTATTATAATATAGTACTACTACTTTTTAGATTTATTAGTTTATTGAACTTTGAAAATCATCTACAAGTATAATATTCTTTTTCAATGTGTTTATAATATAATCAATTTCAATGTAATTTTATAAGGGGAGTTTTTAATAACCATGTTGTTCGTGTTATATATATATATATATATATATATATATATATATATATATATATATATGTATATATATATATATATATATATATATATATTAATATAGCTCATTTGTCATAGATGCGAAAGTTATTCTCTAAGTGATACAAATGCATTATTAATCTATACATTTATCACCAAATTATAAAAAAATATTGTTTAAAGTTTATCTTTAAACGCGAAAGCGACAATTAATAACTTGTAATAATTAACATAACATTTGGCAAAAAGATAATGGGGCATTTCATAAAAGCACACCATGGCTCTTGCCTATTGTCATTAGGCACCTAAAAAATCATTAGTCAACAACATTATTTCTATTTATAGGGATAATATACTTCTATAATACTACCAAATACCAATTAGTCAATTACCAACAAAGGAGCCTTTTTGGAAACTTGTATATCTCTAAGAAGTTGCTATATATAAACTTCAACACATCATCCATTTTAGAGCAATCTACTTCAAAACACACACACACAAAAACATTACTTCAAAACAAGAAAAGAGATCAAATGGCTGAGGAAAGACAGTGTAATATGATGATCAACCAATCACAGAAAAGGCAGTCAAATTCTGACCGTTTGATTCCAAAGAGAGGGCAAATAAAAGTTGAGATTGTAAAAGGATTAGTTCAATCTGTTGCTTCTATTTTCTCTTTATCTCATCAACGTACCTCTATTGTTCGGTGAATCATGCTGAATTGCTGATTATTACTAGCTCTATTTTTTTTTCACTATTATGATACTTTTATGTACATAGATTAGGTTATTTTTTAAGGAATTAAAATTGCTTGAGGTTGGAATTTGGGATATGAATTTAGTATGCAGCAAATTATTGGTCTTGATTTCATTTTTATATTGAGACTTTTTGTTTAACTTGTCTAGGTTAAGGGAAGTTACATAATGGTTCATACAAAGTACCATATATGATCTATAAAAGTAAAAATACAAGGTTTTGAGTTTGATTAATAATTTATGAAATTATTGTAGCCTCGTAACTTCTGTTAGGCCTTGTTCAATTTACCTTAAATAAAAACATATTTAGTGAAAATAATTTTAGTTTAATTCAGTAAAAATAAAGTGAAGTAAATTTCACTTTGTTTATCAATTATCATCATGCAAAGAACTGAGGGGCTTACATTAACCCACATATAGTGACAAATAGGATATATACCAAATTAACATTATTATATTTATAAAATTCATGTGAAAGGATTTTCTCCAACTATCTTTGTTTTGGTAGGTCTTGATTTTTTCCGGTTCATTTTTAATCTATGATGGCTTTAAAAGGCAAAGACCATCTTTATCAAATGTCCCATGAGATTGCAATTTGCAATGTTATATCCTTGACTTATACAATAGTGGATATTACCTAATTTAAGCAAAAAATTAGTTATAGCTATAATTTAAAATTCTGAATAAGATCAACTTATACATTTCCGAATTTTCGATTTTTTTTTAAAAATATACAGAGTAATTTCCCACAATAATGCTAGAATAAAAATAAATACCCTTTGTGCGTCGATTTGGAAACTAATTCCCTAGATACCGTCCATGTAGGATCGGTGTTGGGTGTGATTTTTTTTTTCACCTTAAAACCGCTAATGACAATAGCGGTTATAGCTTTAAAACCGCTACTGTTATTAACGTTTTCAGAAAAGAGACCGCCTATTTCAATAAACAGGTCTCTTTTCTTCCTTAACCTTTTTTTTAAAAAGTAAGGAGGCAAAGAGACCTTTCAATAAAAAAAAGGAGGTCTTTTTTCTAAAACCATGTCTTAGCCAACAACAGGAAAGAGAATGCCCACATTAGAGCACCAGCATCAAGGCCTTTTACAATCCTTTCCGTGGCTTTTTGGTGTCCTTTCCCAATCGTGATGGATGCTATTACTTGGGAAAGATAACTGTTAGGGAAAGGATATTGTAGTATCCTTTCTCTAGAAAGGAAATCTCGCCTCGGCCCAAGTGCCATGTTAATTCAACAATCACAAACAAAAGCATACAACGGCTATATTGGAAATCATCCAACGCTCAACTTGTTGACACTTGTCAACATCTTGTTTCTTTATTTTTTTTTTGCTCCAAAATATTATAACGGCTATAATTTGCAAACGGTAACTTATTTTTGAAATCCGAAAACACCAACGGTCATAAAAATTTTTTGTCTATAAAATGAGTATAAATTTGCTATATTTTCACAAAATTTCAGTTTCACTTGTACAATACTCTTAAACACAAAATTATTCTAATCTCCATATTTTCAAGTTTATTTTTCTCCATTTCACTTCCAATTTCTTAGAGTCTTATATGGATCGTAATAATTATAATTACGTTCGTAACCCGAATTTTCCTAACAATTCAAACTTTCAATTTAACCAATCTAATCCTCCTGTTGACCCTAATCTGTTGAGTAATCCTCAAATTCAAGCTGCATTTTTTCAATGGTGTAGTAGTCAACCAAGACCAACAAATTTCAATAATATTCCACCAATACAACCAAATTTTCCTCATAATTCCCAATCCTATCAACAAGCTTTTGGTAATACCCCTTTTTCCCTATATCAGAACATTTAACTCAAAATATGAATCAATCTCCAGGTGGAGTTTGTAGTAGCAATGCTACTCCAATAGAGTTAAGTGGTGAACATGTTGAAGAATTAGCGGGAGCACAACATCTTGAAGAGATTGACAATGCTGAAGTCGAAATTGTTCCAGAAGTGCAACTCAATACATCTGCACAAAGGAAAAACCAAGCATGGAGTATCGCCGAAGACAAAGCTCTTGTATCAGCCTATATAAATGCAGGAGGCGATGTGGAGAGGGGAACCAAGACCAAGAGAAGCGGATTATGGGCAGAAATTCACAACCAGTACGAAAAGGCTAGAGCTGAAAATCTCAATGAGATTAAGGTAAGACACGTTAAATCTTTGCAAAATCGATGGGATCACATAAATGAACATGTAAGTAAATGGGTTGACGCCTACGGTTATCATTTTCGAACTAAGGGTAGTGGTGAATCTGAGCAAAATTTGGAGAGATTCGCTCACATAGATTACAAAGCAACTAACAATAAGATGTTTTGTTATTTGCATTGTTTTGCAATTATGAGGAAATACCCCAAATGGGATCCCTCCTTGTCCAAAGTTCAGTCCGATATGTTACCGGGTGGTCAAGCATCTACAGATAGTGGGGGGAGCGGTAAAAGATCCCAACCCGATTCACAGTGTGAGGTTGGCGGAAGGGCTAAAAGACCTCTTGGCATAAAACAGACAAAGATGAAAGGTAAAGCATCAAGTACTTCGTCAAGTGTAAATCTTGACTCTTTAAATACAAATTTTAATGACATGGGAGAGAAATTGGGTCAATTGGGAGAGCGACTACTTGATCAGATGAGAGAACGAGATGAAGAACAAAAGGCCCGGGTAGAAGAAAAGAAAAGGCAGAAGGAGGAGGCCATGAAGTTCAGAATGTTAGAAAGGTTAATGCAGAACTCCGTTCTTGATGACAAGGAATTAGCAATGTATAACAAACTGAGAGACGAATTTAGTAGTAGGTTTTCGCTTTAATTTCATTTTAGTATTTGCAATGTTTGTATTTTAATTAAGTATTGTAAGGTACGCAAGTTATTTTTTTTTAAATTGTTTGTGCTACTAGTAATGTTGATGTTTATGTAGTGTTGTTATTGTTGTTTATGTATTAAATTAATATTAGTGTATTTTAATTTGTTTTTAAAACTATGATGTCTCTTTTACCTTTTGACAAGACTCATGCATGCATTGGTAAAAAAACTGACCTTACAAAATTCTGCATGCATTAGTCATAATTCTCACCATACAATCCTTATCTTATCCATATCTTATGTGCGCCAATTATGTTTTAACAAAATCTTATCTTCTGACCAACAATATCCTATTTTTGTCTATTTAAAGTACATGATTTCTATCTTCTAGTGTCACAAACAAACACACCAAAAATAAAACACCAAGCACAATATGAGCTTAGATTCAATCTCTTCAAGTTCTTCAAGCTCTTCCTCCTCAAGTATAACTGATAAAATTTATGATCACATGGTCATGAATTTTATAAATGAGAGTCAACGTTTAGTTGCGATGCAAAATTCAGTGCTTAATTCATTACAACCTGAAAAGCAAAAACGTCCGAGAGAACGAAGGGTAACTGTGCCTAGAAATCGTGAAGCGGCTCACGACAATCTAGTTGCAGATTACTTTAGTAATCAACCGGTATACAATGATACAGTATTTCGAAGGAGGTTTTGTATGAGGAGACCCCTGTTCCTTCGCATTGTGGACACATTAAGTGCAAGTAATCGCTATTTCCAACAACGTCCCGATGCTACCATGCGTCTTGGTGCTTCACCCCTTCAAAAATGCACCGCGGCTATACGTATGTTAGCTTATGGTTGTTCAGCTGATCAAGTAGATGAATATCTAAAGCTTGGTGAAAGTACTGCTAGAGAATGTCTTTCACAATTTGTCGATGGAGTTATTGCTCAGTTTGCAATTGAGTACCTCCGCAAGCCAACAATGGAAGATATCCAGCGTCTTCTAAGAGAAGGGGAGGACAGAAACTTCCCCGGCATGATTGCATGCATTGGGTATGGAAAAATTGTCCAGCTGGATGGAAAGGAATGTATCAAGGCCGATCTAAAACGGCCACTGTTATCTTGGAAGCGGTTGCATCTAGGGATTTATGGATTTGGCACGCCTTATTTAGGACTCCTGGGTCGTGCAACGATATTAATTTACTACAACGTTCTCCTGTGTTTGATGATATAATAAATAATCGTGCTCCACAAGTTCTGTTCGGAGTTAATGGAAACACTTACACAAAAGGATACTATCTCACCGATGGGATTTATCCAAAGTGGTCGACATTTATAGATGCGGTTACTGCCCCTCAAACAGCTAAGGATATGTTATTTACTGAAGGTCAAGAGAGTGCGAGAAAGGATGTTGAGCGTGCTTTTGGTGTGTTACAAGCTCGTTTCGCAATAATCAGGAAGCCTGCTTTGGCATGGAGTGTAGATCTGTTGTGGAAAATTATGATGACTTGCATCATTATCCACAACATGATTGTTGAAGACGAGCGTGATACATATTTAAATTATAAGGATCCACTCGAGTTTGCCGATGAACAGCCTGAGAATATGCCGGGGTCGTCCTCAACTAGGAATGCAACAACACTCACCGTAACTCCCGGACAGTATGATCCAGATAATTTCGGTAGATTGATAGCTTCGAGAGGGGAAATTCGTGATAGAGACGTCCATATGGCTTTGAAGAACGACTTGATCGAGCATTTAAGGGCACAGTCTATGAGGTCCAATGAAAATTAAACATTTCAGTTATTTTTAAACTTATGTTTGTTATTTTCTTTGCTATTTTTATCAAAGTAATTCATGTTTTTTTTTATTCGTGTCGTTTAATCAATGCATTTCATGTTTTTAATCAATGAATTTTATGTTTTTGAATTCGTCTCATTTAATTAATGTGTCGGTTAATAGAACGATCTATTATTAATTATTATTAACAACATTTTCAACAATAATAATAATTAAGTATATTAATAAATATATGTAATTTGAAAAAGGAATAAATTGTGGGGTATATGTAAGTAGGAGAGAGAAAGTGGGAAAGGATACTCATTGATGTTAAAAATTTTGAAGGGAAAGGATGAGTAAAAGGATGGAAATAGTGGGAAGTGATGTGGAGGAAAGAGAAAGTGATGTGTCAAGTGTAGGAAAGGAGAGAGAAACTGGGAAAGGATATAAGTATCCCCAACACTAATGATGCTCTTATGACTAAGTTCAAAGAGACCTAATTTCATTAATAACGGGTCTCTTTGCTTTTTTTTTTTTTTTTTTTTTTTTTTTTTTAAACAAAAACAAAAACAAAACCGCTAATATTGCTAGCGGTTTTAATCCAAACCAAATACCAATCTACATGGACGGTATATCACGTGTTTGCATTTACATATTGAAAATATTAGTAGTTCTTTACAATAATATATTGAAAATAGATAATTGAAAAATACACATTTAGACGGTTACAAGACCTGTACAACCCGGTTGATAATTTTTCTAATACATATATTAACATACAACAATACGGCTAAATCAAAATTTTAAAAATTTGATCAAACCTGACTATTAATATTCAAATTAATAACTTATTTTAGGCAAACAACATATAACTTAAATATTTTTTAGGAATCCAGATGATAAGATGGCGCACTCCTAATTTTCTAAGAGCATACACAATGGTTGCCCAACCCCATCTTGGTTATTGATTATTTTATTATTTTATCCATCTTCCACCTCACTTATAACCACTCTTATAACCATTTAATAACCAATGTATGCCAATAGTTAACCATAATATTTTGGTTATACATTTTCTCTCTCCTACTTTTACCCAACCCCACCACACAATTTATTACTTAAATTCTATTATTATTAAATAATGCATTTGGTAATAATCATTCAAAATTAATAATTATTTATTAGCATACATTAATTAGATAAAATCTCAAAAATCTAAAAATAATGCAATTTTGATATTAATTAGTACGTAATTAGTCGTTAATTAAGACACAAACAATAATTGTAACCCTACTACATTCCACAATAATAAAAATCATACATATATATTCTATCAAATGACAAAAGTCTTTGAAAGATAATAACGAACCGCGAACAAGTACAAACACAATGATATAATATTGCGATTACACATCTATTAATGCATATTATTGTCCCTACTTTGAACACCGAATTTGAGCCACATATGTTCAACATCCCCCTTTTGGTTAGTGTTAGTTTTTTTATTTTGACTAACCTCAAGCCAAGCCTTCACAAGAACCACTTCTTCAGCTTTTGACCAAAAAAATTTCCTTCCATCTTGATTGCCTCCTTCATTACCTCTTTCATTACCTTCGCCTTCTTCAACTTCTGGTTCATTTTCGTCATCTGATGCATTCGATGTGTATGAACAATCGAAACTCGGAAATGCACCATCACCTTGTGACATAGAAAAATGTTGAGACATGGGAAATGTTGAATCAATTTGAGAGATTTAAATATTTTCAAAAGATGGGATAACATTTGGAGAATTTGAATAATTAGGATTTTGTGGTGGTTGAAAAGGAAACGGAGTGAAAGTACTTGGATTTGAGAAATTGAGATTTTGTGAACCGTAATTCGGAAAATTTTGAAAATTTGTATCTAAATCTGAGTTGAGATCAATTGGAAGATTAGAATAGTAAGGTTGAGGATTTGGATTATTTTGGGGCTGTGATGAGTTATGAGATTTTGTGGATTTTTTTTTTCTGTTAGATTTTGGAATGTTCATCTTAACACAATTTGCCAATAAGAAGAGTAATTTTCACTTAAAAAAAAGTTGTTTCAAAATACTTCAATATTGGGCTCATTTTATAGAGAAAAATAAAATAGAGCCGTTGGTGTATTTTTTTTTTTTCAGAATTGTATTTTAAAAATTATGGCCGTTACAAAAATTACAACGGTTATAAATTCAGAGCAAATCTCAACCATTGATATTTGTATTACGTGTCAAAATCTTAGCCATCCATGTCAACCAAAAAGCAAAAAAAAAAATTGCATGACCATATACATAACCGGTTATTTGAATAACCTGGTTATTCAATTGATACCCCAATAATTTCTCTCTCCTCAATATTTTATTAATATTTTCATTTTCTCTCTCTTAATAACCACCCAAATAGTTAATGGCTGTGGGTACTCTAAAAGTTCCAATTCCTGCATAAACGAAGATCTACTACAAGATGCTTCAAAAAAAAATAAAAAATTAAAGCACTTTTTTTTACCCTTATCCACGATCATCAGATCATATTTTGAGATAAGGACTCTAGTGATCAGAATTAAAAATTAGATTGCGAATCTTAATCACTGATTACAGAGTATTCGTACTTGATTAAGGTTATGTATATAAATCATGTAGATAAGCTTAATCCATAATTAGTTAACCTAACCTTGGCGGCTTTTATTTAAAACTATAGAAACGCTACTGACCATAACATGATTATAGAAATAATAATAACAACCTCAAAAGCAATGTGAAACCACTTATTCAAGGTCAATGCTTTTGAAAGTGACTGTTGACCATTGACGGTCATCAATAGAAAATTAGGGTCATGCACTGATGCCCCACAATCCAAGAGTAACAAGACAATTTTGTGTTCACACACACGGTCGTGTTCACACAAGCAAGCAAATCCGAGCAACATCATTTGTATCCCAGTCATAGGTGATAGCTGTTTTTCAGTTCAGCTCCAATCAGTTCAGCTTAGTTTCTTCTCTTATAAAATATCCAGTTCAGTTAGTAGTTTAGCTCAGTCTTACTGAGCTGAGCGCTGAGCTGAACTGAAATGAAAATTTTATAAGAGAAGGAAATTAGGAGCTGAACTTAACTTATTAGAGCTGAAGTTAATTGAACTTATTAGAGCTGAATTGAACTGAACTCAACTAAATTGAAAATAATCGTATGAAAACATACCTTAAATCAGAACATGCCCTAATACAAATAAATATCATGAAGAAGTATTGGCGTATAGGTCCTATATATTTAGCATTCAAATAGAATGACATTTTTATAAATAATGGGAACTTAAGGGTGGAAAATATGATGGTAAAAAGTATCACTACATGCATAATAATACACAAAAAATACTACACAGACAACTTATACTTTTATGGTACATTATACATGTATAATAGTACACAAAGTACCACTATACCATTAAGAGAAAAAATGTACCACCGAATCCTAGATTGTCCTCCTATGTACTTGCCAAATACATATTAGGCCCTATGTGCCTAGATGCACTCAAATTTTAAATTTTATCCTTCTGTTTCATATCAAACTCATCCATAAATTTTAAATTTGGTGACTCTTTTATCCTTCTTTTTCTCTCAAAAAGCCTGTTAGACTGTACTACGTATATTTTGATTAAATTTGTATCTCAAAAGCCAAAATTTTACAGAAAACATTCTAGATTATGAAGTAGCCGTCTATATATGATTTTTGAAAGTATTTCCATATTCCACAAATATGATTAAAAAATTGAATACGACATGAAATAATGTCATTATAGTGCAATATATATTTGCTGGACCTTGGTAAAGATAATATCAAGTACTAATAAGTGGATTAACTTAAATTTCAATGGACTTCCTATTATTGGAAAGTTGGATAATAGAAATAGAGTTTCCAGCTATATATAGATTGTCCAATTATATTATTGGAAAGATTTACCAACTATGTGAAGAAGTACTGTACTTTATTAGGTCAATTCTTGGTAAGATTTACCAACTCTCGTGACTAGTGTGAATTGTGAAGATTTTTTTGTTTATCTATCTTTACAATCTTAAGTCACTTTCTAGATGCATACGGAATTGTGGAATATAGCAATCGCAGTCTTTTCGCAAGTGACAACATTAATGATGCTTCAATTTCAAACATTTTCTCACTTTTTAACATGATAATAGACGAACAAAACCGACCATTTTAAGGTGGCAGCTACTTCGTATGAATCAAATATGATGTTTAGTTCAAATTCAATTTGGATTAACTAGTTTTAATTTTTCACAAAGTATGGGGTTTGATGCGGGTTATTTTATGTGGATGCAGTTTTATTATACTCTCCACGTTTTAACTTGGGTGTCCCAATTTAACTTTAGCACTATTCATATATATTATTTTGACCAATGTCTATGGGCCTGTTCACTTCACCTTAATTTCAATTCCAATTAGTTCAGTTCAGTCAACTCCAATCAGTTCAGTTCAGTTCAGCTCCAATCAGTTCGGTTGAGTTCAGTTTAGTTCAACTCAATTTAGTACGTAGTAAATGTAAACAAGCCCTATGCTTTATAGCTCCGTCGTGTTTTAATAAGTGTACCGTTACATGTTGACCCGATATATATAGTTTTAGGCAATTTAATTGACTTAAATAAAATACTCTTCATGTCCTAGAATATCTTACACAGTCAATTTTGCACACAAACCAAAGCACTAATTAAGCTAGTTTGCCTTTATAATTATATATTAAATATGAATGAAAATTATTTTTAAAATTATGTTATGAAACTTTGTATTAATACCTATCTAACAACATATTTGATGTTACCTATCTAACAACATATTTTGTTATAAAATATTTTTTTATAAAATTATGGTCAAAGGATCAAAGCTAATACATGAAAAGTGAAAAAATTCCAACGTCCCAAATATTCTGGGACGAAGCTAATAGAGTATGCCATGGCACATATAAGTACGGTATTTGAGTATTAAAATAATTGAGGGGTTAATTGTTTATTAAAAAGTTATATGAATATGAGAAGAAAAAAATAATACTACGTAGAAAAGTAGTAGTGAGTTTGAGTGAAACTATGAAAGGAGAAAATATAATATTAAAATGTAATTTTTTGTTAAAAAAAAATAATAATAATATAATAATAATAATAATAATAATAATAATAATAATAATAATAATAGTGTAACAGTGTACACTTATTAAAACATGGGCACATTTGATAAGTGTTACATAGAAAGTATGTAAGATAAGATATAATCAATAAGGATTAGGGATCAACTAAACTAGTAAAATGAACCTAATTGGGATAAGTTTAACATGAGCATACATGTTAAAATAAGATTGTAAGTGGTTATGAGCAACAACTTCTAAATTTCTTTCTACAGGAAACTTCTACAATTAGAGTCATTTTCATTCATCAAATTTGCTACAAAAATAA